TTTTCAGTTTATAATCACCAGAAAACGAGGGAAAAAAAATTGCCCATTAGCACATGACAAGATTACAAATTTACTAGGCAAATAAAAATTTATCATTTTACTTACCCAAATTTTATAAGCCTCACTTAAAGCAGAAATTATTATGAAGTTTTTTTATTCTGACTAGCTGACCATCCAGTTGTTACTGGTTTGGTTTCAGCACAATAATTCAAGTTGTCTGCCATCTACAGTTACTAAACTTGTTGTCAGTGGCTTGTACTTGGGGCTCTTACATTCCATAGCTGCAAGGTCCGGTGGGTGGGTCCATATTCACAACACTGATCATTTAAGATAATTGAGTTTGTCCCTTTTGTGAATATGCACTCAATTTATGACTTGCAAACACCAGGCTCCATAAATTTAGGCAAATTCAGTGGAGGGCAGTATGACATTCAAAATTATCAAGAGTGTAAGCAGCTGGCTATTAAGATCTCCAGTTATGGAAGTGCAAAAGGTGCTTGGTGTTAAGGGAAAAACTTGTGAAATTTCATAAACAATTGTATCATCTTTATCCCCACAGCCGCATAGTGTGTATTGTCTGTGTTATAAATATGGATGATAGTGAAGGCAAGAAGAGAATACAATTGGTAGATGACAGCTTTATGTTGTTTTTTTAATATAATTAACAAAAAAAAAAGAATTGTTCAAAGAGATTTACAATTTTTAATCAGTATCATGTGGTTAGTGTTTTATTAATTAATGAAAATTAACATTTTATGAATTATGATAGTATAATAATTTAGTCATAATTCCTCTGTTCAAATTGCATGTGTTTGTCTATAATTTTCAAGACCTATTATAAAATGTGATTATTATGACAGAATCCCAGAAAATTACTTAATAATTTAAGTATTTACTGGGTCGAATCTGAAATAAGGAACATCCTTCAGTCTAAAAACAATATAAAAAGCAAAACAAAGAGGTAATTTTGTATTAGACAATTTTCTGAGAAAGCGTATGAAGGCTGATTTTGAGAAATATATAGAATTCAGACATATTAAAACGTTTTTTGAAATTTGGAAACTTTAACAAATTGTTAAAGATTCATTACATTGTAAAACAATATTCATAATTACTGAAAATATTATATTGCATGTATATGTCATTTTTAAATATTCATATTTTCAGAATATAGCAAATTGCAAAATACTACTTACAGAAATTCTGATGCATCTCTACTTGTACAAAAATACTGATCATTTGAGCAGGTCAAATTAAACTTTGTAGCTTTTTCCATTTTGATTTTCAAAATTGATCCTTACATGATAATTTTGAGTTAGTGACTAATGTACATTAATTCTTTAATATTTTGTTTACTGATGGTTTAAGAGTTGCCATATAGAGGTCAATATTAATAGGTTTAGTTTGGTCTTGATGGTTTATTGCCATTTTCAGCACATGCAAGGCTATACATGGTAATCAGATATTTAGTGGAGAAAGAACCTGATAAAACTTTGGGAAGAACCAGCATCCCACAGGAATCTACTGGCAAATTTTCTCATATATCCACAAAAGACAAGTTGAAATTCAAACTGTGTGGAATGATGTGAGATGTCAGGGAACTATGCAGATGTCCCTTAGATGACTAAGATCCATAGAGCCAAATATATATAGACCATTGGGTATGTGTGTGTTGCTACTTCATAGCTAGTATTTTCTGGGAGAAAATACCTGACTAAATGATGGAAATTCCATTGTCCATTAGCTAAGGTAAACCTTATTCTTCCTGAAAACCAGATCAGCAGATGAACCCCACACTTTTTTGGCTTGTGTATAGGTGCTAATCATTATATTTTTTGACTGCCATATTGTAATTTCCAATAACATTCATGTAAGAACATTAGCTGTCTCTTTGTGGGTTGATGAGCAAATTATTAATAGTCTTGCATTCTATATTCTTTATAAGTGTTAGGATCATACTCTGGTCATTTTTCATCACTGTTGAATTATCTTCAGAATGCCTTTTTTACAGTTGTCCCATACACATGGTGTATATAGTGTCAATTTATTTTCCCCTTTTAAAAAGTATTGTATATTTGGTAGAGTTGTTTTATTTTCATTCAAATAACAATTTCTTAGCAGCTAAGGGTAGGTAATTTAATTTATTTCCTCCCTTTTTGCAGTCTATGGACTTGTCTGCCAATCATTTTGTTCACAGTATATAATGAATTGTGACACTTTTATACATGGTATGCATGTTGCACACCACTAATGTATCATGCTTGGATGTCAAACTCAGGTTTTTTCACCATTTTAATTTCAGATAGCTGACCTTAATTTGTCATTATAATTACCAATTAAAACTTCCTTGTTTTTTGCTAATTTTTAGTAATCCCTTGTTATTTTGAAATCTGGTTGACTTATCATTGCATTTTTCTGTCCCAAAACTTATCATTTCCTGTTTTGTGTTTAATCATAGGGAAATGCCCATATAAGATGTGTTATTGTTCAATATATTTATAGACTTAGTCCTTGCTTTACTTTAGAGTACATCCTTTACCTTTGAAATTTTTTGCAGCTCGATCTTCTTTCAGCATCTTTATTTCAGGAACAATGTCTAAGTCTTGTTGGTTAGTGTAACCTCCAGAAATCTCCATGAGACACCCAGCCCTGCTTGTTTATCCTCTACACAACTGTCCTTTTTATAGACTTTGGTGTGATGAGATTTGGGATCATGCAGAGAGTTAACAAAGCTACCAATCTGGAAAAAAAGTCAGAAAGGTGACTAAAGTCTCCTCAGTAGACCCTATCATTGCTAGAACTGGAAGATCTGATTCTTCAGGGTTTATGGTCAGGTAGAATTTACCTTCCACATCAACAATTTGGAAATGAGGGCAGCACTTTTAAGCCATCAGGGGTGCATCCAGTGCTTTTAGTCCATCAGGGGTGCATCCAGCAAAAAAAAAGGTCTCAGTGTGATCGTCTCCTCCAACATCATTGTTGGTACAGTACCACAGAAGACAAGGAAGAACACATGCACAGTCTCTCTGCATGGTGGTTTGGAACCTTATTTGCTGGACAGCTTCAGAAGGAATATTCTTTTAAGTATGACACATTCACAAGAGGAGAAACATTTTTATTGACATTCTGTCAAGGAAAGGGAAGATAATTCTCATGGTATGGTCTCTCCACCAATCTATAGCAGACTCACTGTTACATATATGGGGAACTCCTTTGGTGGACATGATTGCAACCAAGTTGAACAACAAGCTTCTCATTTGTTTCCAGAGTTCTGACTTAGAGTTTCTGAGCTGTGGATCCAATAACCCTGAAATGGGATCATTTATTCAGTTATGGTTTCATACCCTTGAGGGTGATCCCACATGTCTTACACAATGTCGAGTATTCCACAGCTCAGCTTTATTTTGATTGTGATCATGTTAGTTGTGGTACATTGATCTTCTTAATCTGCTTGTGAACCATCCCAGAACCTTATCTCAAAGGACCATCCCAGTACCTTATCTCAAAAGACCATCCCAGTACCTTATCTCAAAGGACCATCCCAGTACCTTATCTCAAAGGACCATACCAATACCTTATGTCAAAGGACCATTCCAGTACCTTATCTCAATCGAGTGACCTCTTGCTGCATCACAGTGACTCTCTCCTACACAACAGCTGACAGAATCTCCACATTTGCAATTTGCTCATCTCAAATGATCTCTCTGCAAAGAAGTTACCAAATGCATCATCCAGGAACAGCTCATGATGAAACATGTATGGTGTCAGATGGAAAATTTTTTGAAATTGGTGTAATAAAAAATGTGTCCACCATAGTTGTCCCTATGTTAGCAGTGGCTAATGTTTCTCTTGTCCTTTCTGAAAAGAAACAATTTCCAACACTCAAATTTTCAAATTAATCTTCCACGAGAACTACAGAAACCTGTGTCTAATGATCTCTAATTATTAAATGGAAATGCTTTTGTGCCTTGTGGTCTGCCAATACCATACCCCAACTCAGAACCTTTTGTTGAAGCTTTCTTTGAGAACTTTACCCTAAAGATAGTTTTCTTGCTCACCTTGGCATATGCAAGACCAAAGGAACCAGCATCTTGCTGTATCCATAAGGCAGAGCTGTGTCAGTCAGGTTCAGTGGAAATTATGAGTTAAAATTTCTCTCCTTTCCAACTAGGTTTTGATTCCATAAAGCTGGCTTCCTTTGGTTGCTCCTTCTGATTGAGATCTCCAGTCTGAGCTATAAATGTACTGGGTTTGACCATGGCAGATTTTTAGGTCCAGTTGGAGTTCAACATTTTTATTTGGCAGCCTCCAAAGAGAGAAATAGGAAGTGTCTTTTCCTCTCCATTAAAAGTTCAGCTGATGTTTATCTTCCACCATATTTAGGTGGATTGCATTAACAACCATCAAGAGAGCTTACCAGTCACTTACTGATAGGGGCCTATCTTTCATAACAATTCAATGCTGCCTCATGGACCTAACTCATTCTTCTTTGGAGGGTGTGATGAAAGCCATATTTTGGTGATGTCACACTATTTTCTCCTTATACCTTTGTTCATTAGCTCACCAAAGGCAATTTCTCAACCATCCCAGTTATCTGCTCATCTGGGTGAATATTCCTTTGTTTTTTATTTAACAATTAGGGGAACACCAGCCTCCCACCCAACTGACAAATTCAGTGTGCAATAGCAACAAATATGGTCAACCCTCAAAAATTTCTCTTGCAAGCAAGTGAACAAATGTCATTTGCAAGCTCAGAAAATGTGATGTGATATGATTATGATTTTTAACCTTTAACAATTTTCCAGTCATATCACTTTGATGTCTACAGTGTGGAATTTATAGTGATGTCTAGCACTGGGGAATCATGCCACAGACATGTGGCATGATGTCCCACCCAGTCACATTATCCAGATACAAGGCTGACCAGTCCTAACACTAACCTTTTGATGCTGAGCATCAAGCGAGGCAGCTGTTAGTACCATTTTTGTAAGTCTTTGGTATGACTCAACCAGGGATTGAACCCACGACATCCTGCATCCAAGGCAGATGCTCTAACCAGTAGGCCACCAGAGCTCAGAAAATAACATGTAGTCATCTGGTGACTTTTTTCTCAAAAGAAATTGTGATTTTTTTACTACTTAAAAAAGTAATTATTTACTGGCAATCAATTTGACCAGCGTTTTCAGTTTAGCTGCAAGTTGCGATTTCACGATTGCTGAGAATATAGAATTAAAATAACAATAATAATGTATTTATACATCTTAAATGCATGCCATGCTTCGGCAAAAGAGATGCATAGAGGCATATTTGGTACACACATACCCACCTCTTGCAGTGTAGTGTCAACTGCACATGTATTACAGTGTACCGAAGTAACTCAACAATATTCAAATCAGTTAAGAATCAAAAGAGTCCATTGCATCAGCAGCAAGCATCAGACATCAGATAGGTATCACATGCTGTGTTATTTTCTGCATTCATTTCTATTTTGTGTTCACAGTGTCTTTTATTCTCTCCCACTTAACTGGGTATCCTGTGTTTTGATTAATAATTATTATTTACAATGATATTTAATATAGCTATTTAATATAGCTATTTAAAAAAATCTAATTAAGTAGTACTTCACGATCCAGGCACATGTCATGCAGGCAGATATAGTATATATGAGCTTGCAATGGCTGATTTGTAGGGTAGGTAAATAAAGTTATATATATATATATATATATATATATAAATATAAGTTAATAGAGATGTAATAAAACAGAAGTAGTTATTATTATTAAAACAAAGACAAATATATAATGTCATTTTTAGTTTGTTTACCTGAACTTATATATTTGATGTTGACAGATATTGTCATCCTGCCCCCATCCCTGTTTATCAATTGTAATTCATTTTCAAAATTTACCTGAACACTTTATTTCCATATAATAAATCATTTGCAGTTTTAACCTAAAATGAAAGGTTTCTGCACTATACTTCTTAATTCCCATCAAAACTGCCTTAGTTTGTTAGATTCAGCTTCAGGCTGAAATTTTTGTAAATAAATCAAACACATCAGTGGAAGATTTAAGAGATTCCAAAGATTACTCAAGAATCTGCAAAATGTGAAAGTAAATCTTCTCTTTTATTCAGTTTAATACCTTTTATATTCTTATTGTTGTTTAAAAGCTCTGCACATATTTTTAAAAAATCATGTTTAGATAGTGTTTTCTTTGTTGCCTAGAAAAATATTGAAAAATTCAGATAAAACAGCAGTTCTAACATGTATTAAAATATATTACAGAAACAATTTTTCACCCACCATCTTATCATTGGTTCAGAGTTATAAAAGGTTAGAACATTAATAAATTTTCTTGAAATGTAATCAAAAACTTTTTCAAAATCTGCAGTCAGATGCCATAAAGATGTAATTCTTCAGTGATATACTTTATATAAGAAATAATCTTTTCATTTTTACCAATATATCTTCTTTGAACAAAAACAAGTCTGGTCACCAGTTATTATATCATTGAACAAAACCAGTCTGGTCACCAATTATTATATCATTGAATACTGACATTATTCTTTTGGCCTTATATGCAGATTTGTAGACAACATATTATCCAGGGTTCCAGTTTTGTAAATACTATTTGGTACAACTGCTCTGGTGACCTAGTGGTTAGAGCATCTACCAAAGACTTATAAAAATGGTACTAACAGCTAGCTGCCTTGATAGGCACTCAGCATTGAAGTTAGTGTTAAGATTTTGGTTTGGTGTCAGGATATGACTGGGTGGAACGTGAAGCTTCATGTCTGCAGCACGATGCCCAGTGCTAAATGTCACTAATAACTACCACACTGCAAACATCATGCATGCACAAACACACACTGTTTGGTATAAATACACAAGTTATAATTTATTGCAATAAAACTGTCAAGAATGATCCAGTGTCATAATACTTTTTTAATTGTTCTGGCTACAAATTCCTCAATGTTAATATTGTAGATTTTTAAAAATGCTGTTTTAAAATCATTAGAGTCAACACTTTTATTTTTGTAATATTTTTAAAACAATTTAAAGCCTCTTTCTGTTTAATTTTTTTTCCTTTAATTTTAAAGTCTGATCTTGGTCCAACTTGGGCCAAACAAAATGTGCTTACTATTGCATTAGTTTTATAATTAGGGTCGGCAGGTCTGTTTTGTTTGTAAACATTATATAAATATTTATTGTGATTTTTTTAAACTATAGGGGAAAAGTGCTAGGTTGCAATAAGAAACAGGCTTAGTTGGCTGACCAGAAAAATATTTTTTTGTGCCTTTGCAATGTTGTAATTTTGGTGATTATCTTGGTCTTAATTAGGATTGTTGTAATTTTGAAGATCTTTAAATCACAGTTCTCTGTCTCATTTTCTCCTGTTAATGCATTTCATTAAAACTTTTAACTTCATTAAGGATATCAGATTGATTTATTAAAATCTTATTTTCATCCTATTTAGTTTTGTAATTGTCTCTTTCACATAATTTCTACTTTCTAGGTGGCAAAATTATCTTGTTGGTTTCTCCCATTCTCCTGTGTTTCCTTTAAATGACTAATTGATGAAAGTACAATTCACTAAAGATTGTATTTCATGAATAAGTTCTTGTTTCTCTTTTATTTTACATTTTTTTTTTGTATTAAGCATATGACATATCACGAATTTCTATTAAAAAGTATCTAAAAATAGTGTGAGAGTGATACAGTTTGTTTTATGTGTTTTATATATATATATATATATATATATATATATATATATATATATATATATATATATATATATATATATATATATATACACACATACATACATAAAGTCTTTCCATTATAATGAAGCATATTGTAATTTTATCATTTTAGAGGAAATATTAATTTGATTTATGTATTTTATTGAATTTCTTCAAGCCCTTACCTTTAACAAAATTGTTAGATTATAGGTTTACTATTATCATAGAATGGTCAGAACTAAAACTTGATTCATGTGATGTTTTTTCTACATTGGACTTGAAAAACATTGACATCAAAAAAAAATATTTTGGCATGAGAAACTCATACATCAAAAAGGGATCTAAGGATTTTTCTTTCTCCATGTATATCTATAATGAAGCCTATAAAACCAAATGTGTCTTTCATACTCAATAATACATTTCTAGGATTAGGATTTTTTAAATGTATTACTGTAAGATCTAATTCATGAGCAAAATTGAAATTGCTACCAATAATTGTTGAATCATATCCATATTCACTTAGAATATCATTGATATTATTGTACACATTTTGATAATCATTATTTGGGTCATAAATATTAATTAGAACACTTGTCATTTATTCATTTATCTTGTGCAATCTAATTACCAGCGGGAGCCCTTTCAAATCTCTTAGGTCAAACCCAAAAATGGCCAACTATCTTGGTTTCTTATTGCCAACCCTAGTACTTTATTCTCCCACAATAAAAAAAAAAACAAATCAGAAAAATCACATTAAATAAAATTAATATTTTAAACAACAAAAAATGACCTCAGCCTGTAGCCCTGATTTTAAAATGATATTGGCCAACCATCCCTGTTTCTTAATGTTAACCCTAGCACTTTTTTCCCATGGTAAACAAATCACATTAAATATATATAATGTTTTTAAAGAGACAAATACGGACTCATTAAACCTGATTTTACAACCATATTAGCTAACTTTCCTTGTTTCTTATTGTTGACCCTAGCACTTTTTCCCCTATGATATAAATTGTTTTAAAAAAAGTGACATTAAATATATTTATTTTTTTTATAAATGACCTGCTTATCCTGATTTTAAAACTAGGTGCAATTGGAAAGATATATTGATTTCTTGACCTTCTATGATATTCAAAATTATTTTAAAATAAAATGCAGACTCAAGATTGGATGTATAACAAAATTAAAAAATATCTGAAACCCAGTTGAGCTCAGATAGGTTTGAATGATATTTTGTCATTAGTGAATTGCATATATGTGAGGATATATGGCATTGATTTTTCTTAAGATTACCAAAAATATTACTGCATTTTTCCCAATTTCCCAATTTCCTTATCTCCAATGTTTGCTGATAACATTTTAATGTCCGTGTTATTTATTTTAGATTTGAAAAAAGTGTAAATTTCTGACCAAGTAAAATTAAACATTTACACAACTATCAGTAACTTGTGAGTTTTTACACAAAATATCAAGCTGTCTTTTTTCATATACTATTATATCAGAAACACATCAACTTAATAACAATTATAAAAGGAAAACTTCACCTATCTCCCTCTAACACAGAGTATAGGAATAAAATGTAAAAGAAGTATAAAAGAATAACCAGAAAACATGAAAAAAAACCCAGTATTATTTGTCCAAATATAGACTAATGTTAATAGTTTTTTTTAAAAAAATAAACATATATCTTGAGTAAATTAAGGTGTACACAAAATAATCAGGAATATGCCATTACCATGTCCTCACCAAAATGTAAAAGATAACAACAAACACATAGCATAATAAGATTTCATTTGTTTCAATATAGATACATATTTTCTACATGAAAAGGTGTGAAAAAAAGTTGAAAGTGAGAAAAGAATAATAAATAGTAAACCAGTCACTTTTTTATCCATTATTGCAAACTGCAAAGTTTAAAAAATGCTTCTGTAATCAGATAAAGGTCTGCATTGGAGACAGAGAAGACAATGGTGGAATGGTGTATAACATAAGTAATCAGACAGCAGCATGATACAATGATTTCACTTGTTGCCAAACAGACATAATAGTGGCAATAAATTATCTTTTACTGTTTGATAGTGATTTTACTCCTCCTTCTGATACCAGGGCATTGAAATTTCATCAGAAATCTTATATTTTATTATGTAAACTGGAATGAAACAATTTATACATTATATTAATCCCCTAAAACATTTTCATCTGTAGAAAGGTGAAGAAAATATAATGTACATCATTGTAATATAGGTCAAACTAAAGGTATATTAATATAAAAATAATTATCATTGTAATATAGGTCAAACTAAAGGTATATTAATATAAAAATAACTATCA